ATAATAAAGTTTTGATATATTAAGCATAATATTTATATATTACTAATTAAATAACTTTTAAGAGGATTAATAACGTGAATAATTAAGTTAATAGTATTAAGAGGATTAATAATGTGCAGATGGGAATCTTTTAACCACGGATGATGCCTCCAATGTGTGATTAGTACAGGTATATTTTCGAAAATAAAATTTTGTTCAGACTCGCTTTTAAAAATATACCCCTTAATGATAAAGTATATCGTCTATGCACAAAGAGTTATAGCTATACCTTAGCATATCTTACATCTTACCATTACATATACATACAATGCTAAAGTATTGATATTGTTTATGCACGTATATCATAACATAACAATAAAGTATACGTGTAATTTTGTATTCATTTATAATGCTAAAATGTAGAGTTATACCCTAATATTAAAGGTATAAACAAAGGTTTTTGATAGTTTTATTGCACATTACTCATCTAGTTGCATTTAATTAAGTTAATAACAGTAATAATAACTCAGTTTTATGTATAGAAGACAAAACTGTAAGATTTTCGATGATATTTTATATTTTAAACCGTGATATCAAGTGCATTTTGCTTGTTACTAAAGAATATAACTAATATCAAATAAAAATTTCTTTACGTTTATTATGTAATAAACTAAAAAGCATTATAAAGAAAAAAAATAAAGTAGATATAATTTAAAATATTAAAAGAATAGCGGTAAACATTTATTTTATATCCAGTTTATGAGAGATATTAAATAAAAATACTTATATTTTCATCAATTAAACATCTTTTAAAAGGTTTAACGTAAGGTAAATACGATTTTATAACGAAATTTCGACGAAGTGATGGCATTTTAAGTATAAAATATTAGATTTTTACAAAGTTTAAACGTTTATAAGCTATTAATAATACTGATATTCATATTGCATGCATTAAAACTAAATTTATAACTATAAATATCGAACATTTCCTTTATAACGAGGTTAGAATATATTAAAAGCTAAAATAGACATCTATTAAATAAGAGAGATTTTAAGAGCGAATTATTAATAATTGATGAGCATTTTATATGAAATTTATATACAGGTTAATAAATATTTTTATTGATTTTTTTTCCTATCATTTTTTTTAATGCAGTGGGCATCCGAGGGATTGAGTAAATCATTTGTATCAATACTTCTTTCTATATATAAAGTACAGCAAGGAGCAACAAAATTGTTCACTGTATCGGGTGGTTACTATAACAATAATTGATTGTACTGTACATATTGTCTAGTCTGAACTATATAGGGTTAAGCTTAAATTAGACCTATTCCTGTCCCTCGAGATATCCTTAAGGGATAGGAATAGGCGTAAATTCTTCTGTTTCTCTTATTTCTTTCGTCTTATACGTTATATAAATTAATATATTAAAAAATCCTCGAGAAAATCATTATTACATTATCCATTCTTCGCGAAACAAAAGGAAAAAAGAAATAAATTTAAAAAACTTTTAAAGCAATTAAACCGAACTCATTAAAGAGTCGCAAAATTTGTGTTTATATTAAATAGAATTAAACATGATAATTCTTTCTCTTCTCCTCCTTTTTTTTATTATTATTTTTAAAAAATAATTTACGGTATGTAGTAATTTAAATATTTTATAAAAGTTAAAAATGATTTAAGTAAAATATTAAAAAAAAAAGAAAGAAAAGAAAAATTTATTTTATTCTTAATGAACGTTTTAAAAATAATGTTTAAAACTTCTCTATCTTTCTTTAAATAGCCGCATTAAGAGATAACAAAAATAATTTTTCTAATGGAAGAGAATCTTATAAAATCGTTTAGTTTTGTAATTTTCTTTTATAATTTCCAATTTTGTTTTATAACTAACTAAACCAGTCTTGGGAAATTTAAATGGAAGAAAGAAACACTGAGAAATGGGGAAGAAAACGGAAAAAAATAAATAAGGAGTAGAAGAAGAGGAGGAGGAAGAAGAAGAAGAAGAAGAAGAGAAAAAAACAGAAGGGAGAGACTATTATGATCTGTCTATTAAAAAATTCTTTCCTACGACAAATTATGCTTTAATGAAAAATAAAGAGTTAATCTCTGTAATCAAAAAGCCATTTTTTTACTTTTTTGCCACTTTCTAATTCCCATAGTAGAGTAGGGAAAAAAAGAGAATTAAAGAAGAATTTTTATTCTTTAAATAAAAAAAATTGTATATATATATATATTACCGCTAGTTTTCACTAGTGACAAATTAAGAAACGACGTTGTTTCTTAAGGTTTTTTTTAAATGAAATTTATCGTCTCAGATCGGGTTGTATCAATTAAAAAGTGATCGGGACCGTTTTCTAATTCGGTGGAGTGGGTCTGCGGGTTATACGAGGTTACGGGGTGAAAAGTAGAAAGTAGAATATAAAAAAAAATAGGGAGAGAGGGGAGAGAGATTGATAAAGTCCGAAAATAACTTTTCCGATTTTATTGGATGTTTAATAAAGATAAAAGAAATGTGGACATTAGCGAATTTTAGATGGAACATTAGATGGAGATAGAAGGAAAAGATCCACATCACGTGACAAATAATCATCCGGCACGAGAGAGAAATGACAGCTGACAAAAAGAGAAGACACGCTATTGGTGGATAGATGGACAGCACGTGATCTTTGTGACAAGGGAAGAAGGACCTAGTGACGTCTCTATTTCCTGCTGCAGATAAGGGGGTTCGTTTATCTGACTTGTCTCTGGGTGTTGTAGCATCCGCGCACTTATTTCCTGCCCGTTCTCATCATTAGAAGATCTTTTGTTTCGCGACTGATATCGCACCAAAATGGTCGAATCTTCTTATTAACTATAAATTTGCATCTCTGTCTTATCGATTCTATAACGATTTACAATTTTTTAACAGTTGTTTGGCGCCTCTAAATTTCTTCAATTTTTTTTTTATCCCCCTGTCAACTTTTCCATAAAGTTGCACTAAATCGATTTGTGTAAAATGCCGAGTGATGGAACGTCTAGGTAGATAAACAAGATTCGAGCATTCAAACATTGTCGCAGCTCTCTTCTCTCCCTCTTTACTTTTTCTCCCCTCCCCTTAACTTCTAGATATGAAGCTGGAAAGTTTGAGTGCGCGATTTAATAAAAATCTTGGAAATTATATTGCTTTATATCGAAAAAGGTGTCAATTTTTACTAGATAAATTAATATTAAAATATCCGGTGCGTGTAAAACTAGCGAGATTGACAAGAGTTTGGACAAAATGAAGGGGTTATCATAATAATTCATCGGTCTGAAAAGTATGCAAATGCATTTCGAGAATATTATAAAAGTATAACAAGTAGGAAAAGTAAAAATCGATATATTGCTTCCTGGTAATATTATCGAGTCAGATCAATCGTCCAACCGCAAATTTCCAACAGACGAGGGTCGTAATAAACGAACACACGATGGTGTGATCTGTCCGGCTATAAAACATAACGAGGGACATTGCAGTGTAATTGCATGGGTGTAATGACCGATGGAAGACGCCAGATGGTGCAACAGACGACAGACTGTTGATAGAAGACCCAGGTAAGTTCTGTAAAAAAATAAATAAATAAATAAAACATTCCCTAAGAATAACAACAATTAAATCTTCCTTTTTATTCTGGCTTCATTCGATTTAAAAAACTTTCTCGAATTTTACATTTCTCTAAAATTCTACAATGGAAATTTTATGTTTTATTCGTCAATGAAACTTGGATGCAGATTCAATTTATCTTCACGTTGCGCTTTGACGCATTAGAATTGCGCGCGTCGCTCATTAACGCGCGCAATTCTAATACCCTTTCTCTCTTTTGTTTATTAAAACGTCAATTGTTTAAAATATTATCTGGCAACGCCATTTATATAGCTTAATATTTGTCATTTTACGGTGCAGTTTAGTTTTTGTTATATAGAGTAGCGCGCCGCGACGCGTCGCGTGGCTTAGATAACGAGGCGAATCGTGGCCAGTTTTCTAACTTTTGCTATGCTATCTTCTTTCAGGTTGCGTCCTATTTTACGCTCGAGTACGACAATGAAAGTTTCTATTTTCTGACTCCTGACAATTCTTTCTTTAAAGATCAATTGCTGCCATACGTCGGAATACAACAATGAAAGTTAATATTTCTGATTTCTTCGTGGATCTATTTCTACAATTCGTTCGAATATAACAATGAAAGTTTCCCAGTTTGGAATGTTTTCTTCTCTCTTTTTTTTGAGTCCGTTCCAATTATTTAGTAAGAATGAATCGTTAAAACGAAAATTCTCAACTCGAAAACAATGAAACTTTCTGTTTTACTAAGTTTTAATCATCAAACTCATTAACAATGAACATTCTGTTATTGAATTCGACAACAATGAAGGTTTCTGTTACTGTGATTACTATGGAACGAGATTCATTGAAATCTTCGCATACACTTCGTTCTTCTGATTCAAACGATTCACAAGTCTCCCTCTTTCTCTATTTTATATTAAATTAAGAAACAAAAATACACTTTGATTGATTCTAATTACGAAGATCTCTTGTAGGATTCAATATTTTCAAGGCTTTTCTAGAATTTATTTACGAAGAGAAACGGTGACAAAGTTTTTTTTTTTGTTTTTTTTTTATTGTGAAGATTATTTCTTTGGAGATCGCATTTCACGGAAAAATAGAAGGAAACAAGTTTCTTAGTTGAGTCTGATTTACTAGATTCACTCGAACTAGAAATCTTTGTTGTTGTCTTCGTGTATTCTGTAATAGAAAAGATCTTTCAAAATACGAGCCATAAACCAGGAAAAGATTTTTTGTTGTTTATTGTTGTGTATATGATGGAAACAATTCTTCAAAGCGAAAGTCATTTAATTCTAGAAACAGATATTTATTGCTGCTTTTTAACGTATGATTCCGCAGAAGTTCCGCAGAACAATGGATAAACAAAATATTAAAAAAAAAAAAGAAGAAAAAGACATTTTCTTTTGTCGTTGCGCTTATTCGTTAATCGTTTTCTAAGACATCGAAATCTTGTATTCCATGACAGAATTCCGTTTGTTGGAATACAGTGATCAGTTTTTTTTTTATGTAAGAAAAAACTTTTATGTAGTGATTTCCTTTATGTTTAAATGCGTCGAAATCAGAATATACAAGATGGATATTCGTTGTGTTTAGCAGTGCATCAAATTTAGAATAATGGAAAATTTCTTCTATTAAATCCACTGTAACCGGCAACAAAAGATGGAACATCTGTTTTATAAAAATGTAATTATTTTATTTATACTTTATCAATAAATTTATACCAAAATAACAGAGAATTAGTTGTTAAAAATTGTGACTTTTCTTCTAATATTTGACGCGTAATGAATTATTTTTGGATATATCAAAAAATCAGGATTAAATTGTTATATTGTGGTGCATTAAAATAAGAAATAATAAAGACAAAATGGGGTCTAGTCTTCGTGTTCCACTACAGGAAATGACTTTACTGATCCATTTTATGAGAATATTCTTATTATATACTAGAAACCAACAATAGAAATGCTTTTCTAGGCTTAAATAATTAAAACATTTGTTATCATATACTAGAAAATAAGAAGAAAAATAGTTTTTCTTCTTTTATAAGCCTTGAGATTATATTAGAAATGAATTTTAAGAACTGTTTAAATTAAGACACGTTAATTAAACAAGTTTGTAATTTTTCAAGAAGTTTGTTAACTTGTAAATTAGAAGTGTTAAATTATTTATAATTTGAATGTTATAACGGTATTTATCAATTGTTTTTTTGTATATATAATTGGCAGGTGCAGTTTGAAATTTGAAAGTTTCAATGATGAAAATGTTTATCATATAACGAATTAAAACTTTTAGTAGAAGGTAATTTAGTAAAGCGAAAATATAAATTCCATCATTAGACCAAACACAAACAGAATAATCAGGAAAATTGCAAAATCGATAACAATATAAATGTAAATTGTTTCTAATTATCAATTTTTTTTTCGTTCTTTCTAAAAGTATACGCTTATAAACGATGAGGATTATGTTTCTGAAGTAGATTAAAAGAATTTATTTCTCAATATCTCGACGACGACGACGACTTTTTGGAATTGTTAGGAACTTGAGAGTAGTTGGAAGCAGCAAGGAATTTTTATATATTTATAGAGGATCACTCGACCCGGAAATCATAAAATCTTGACAGAAATTAAAAGTTAAAGGAGCATTACGACATAAATTTGATTGAGACGGAAAGCCATATGAAGCATTGCTTCCCTGAGCAGCAAAATTTCTGATCACAAGAGTGCAATTTATTCACATCCAGACGGTATCGACCTAAAGTCGATTTTCTAGTGAACAAGTAGCGATCGTGTGAGTAGCGAAGAGTAAAATAAAAGATGTAGTCTCCCGAGACAACGTCATTGTGGCCGAACTGTTTACACAACCGCAGTGTTGTGTGGACGATGAAAGCAGTAATGGGATTACAATACGATTATTGGCTACATCGATGGTCACATCGTTGCCGACTTGGAACAAATGCTGTCTCTGACCGCTCCTACAGACTTGTATAAGAGATTTTAATGAAATATTCCATCGAATTCTGAATACAAAATCTAATTTCCTTTTACAAAAACATGCTTTTCTTATCCGTATTGGGACTAAGATGCCAACTTTGAAGAGGAATCATTACCTAACTACGCTTGTTTTAATCTTAAATAGGATAATTTAGTTAGAAATTTGGTTAAGTAATGATTAAAATACGCTTTTCTTCCGATTTTCTTTCCATGTAATAAGGTTAAGCGCGATTATTGGAAATGTCACGGTCACGTCTCTGCTGACTCAGAATGAAAACCACAATCCGACCTCAGATAAAGATAAAATTAAGAGATTTTAATGAAAGATTCCACTTAATTCTGACTCGAAATATATTTTTCTTTTTACATCAGGAAGAATTAAAATACATTTTATATTAGAATTAGATAAAATTCTCCATTAAAATCTCTTAATGTAACCTGTATTTGAGTTAGATTGTGATTACTTTATTTAACAACATCGATAAGATACGAGGGTAGTGTTTAGTTTTAATGTAAAAAGTTTTCAAGAGCCTCTCCTGAATTCTGATTTATGGATATCTATTTATCTAGAAAACTAGATTAATATGGGGTCGATATCTATAATCTAGTTTTCTTGTAATAGCCCTTTCCTTATTATATATGGTATCTAATAACTACATCAATATTAATGAAATTCATTGCCTGACTTGAGATTATTTATGAAAGATTTAATGAAAAATTTTCAAAATTCTAATTTATTATCTATTTTTCTACTATTAAGACAATTTTTTCTTGCAAACAACGTGATCACGACAAGATTACACGGCATATCGAAGCTGAAAAGAGGTGCTGCCTGCGACCATAAAATATAACTGAACTAAGAGATTTTAATGAAAAATTTATGGAAATTCCAGTATATAAGTTGGCAAGAAATCTTTTCTGTCATATAACATGAATTATAATAGCATTGTTAATTATTTCGAAGTCATATCGAGAAGAGAATTCACATATGAGTGTAGATAAAACTTAACCACAAGATTTTAACGAGAGATTCGGACGAATTCCAATTATCAATTTAGTTTTCTTGTAATAAGAAATTTTTTATTTATACATAAACTTAGTCTATATCTCTTATCGAAGTTCTGACAAAAAATTCGTGTTGCCTCCTCATATCTATAGCAATTAGAGAGAAAAAAGGGAAACCTTATTGATTGAAAACGTAATAACATCTCTCGTTCTTCCCCCGTTAAACTAAAACTTCGTGGACAAATTAACTGCCGAAGATTAAACATCAGTCTAGTGAAGTCATATTTCTTCAAATAACACATCTTCTTCTTCCCTTTAAGTAAATATCTGCAAAGACATTAGACGGTTCTGTCGTATTGTTCTCCAATCTAGCCTATACGTTGCTATGGAGACTCCCAGTTGATAATGGTTAGGGGGCTATTTTGCACAGCACGAGTAGCGTGCAGTGAAAATAGCATTTCTTAACGATTTTTTTTAAGAAACGAAGGGGAAACACAGATCTAAAAATCCCTTTTATAAACAGAGGAATGAGTTTAAAAAATTGCTAGACACAGAAAAAGTTTCTTTTTTATCCATTAACCTAACCTCGAGGGTTGTAGTTAATGTCCACGCAAGATGTAAGTTCGGTAACTTAACATAAATAAATAAAACCGATATAAAAAGAATTTTTTAAAGGCATAATTGTCTGGAGCCATTACAAAGTGATATTATACATATCAGTATAATGTTGTATGCCTATTATGCAATTTACATTAGGAGGAATAAGGTGTAGAATCTTCCTTTCCACCTGTCGAGACTCACGCGAGGCGAATTCAATATAATTCAATGTCGTGAACTTGACGTAATTCATTCGTGACAGTTTAGTCTGTTGGCAGCGGTCTGCCTGTAAGATTCTAGGAACCACTTCTGGGTATCTGGACTTATCGATTGATCAATAAGTCAGCAATCATGAACGTCAAAGTACAAAGGAGTTACAGTGTCTAATGCAGTGGTAATTGCAAAGGAGACTAGCCTTTTCAACAGATAGTAACCAAGGAGACCAAACACATTAAGGGCAACAGAAATGGTTCTCACATGTTCTATAATGGCACAACAATCAATTATTATTCCATGAAAATGTACGACGTGAAGAAAATAAACACGTAATTAATCACCAGCTTAAGTACGAAACGTCATAAATTTTAATAGAAAATGCGGAGTTTTTGAAGATGGAGAAGAGAGTATCCCCCTTCTTAAGTGTATTTATTGTATTGTTTGTTGTGATAGATATACAGCTGAATTCGAGGAAAATTTATATTGGTTGAGTGGAAAGTTTTAGTGAAAGAGGAGAAATTTATTTAAATCTTTTCGAGTTGTTTTCGTGATAAAGAAAATTGTGGAAAATGGAAAATTTTTGAGGAAAGATGAAAAAAACATGGTATTATTTATGACAGGTAGCTTTAGTTAGAGCTTTCGATTACGGTTTAAGACCAAATATATTCTGAAGTGTGAATAATAGTTTGGTTGGCCTTTGTGCAACCGAGGATGTGGCATCTTGCATAAATAATTTAATCGTATTTTAATCTTTATTTAATTTAGCCTTTATCCTTTAATTAGACTTAATTGCCTCTCGAAAATTAAGATTTCTAAGCTGCACTTTTGGTTTTAAGTAATATTAAGCTCTGTTTTGGCTTTAATACTTTTCTGTGGCCTTTCGGCTTAACTAAACTTTTATCTTTGTTCGTGGGTTAACTACATTTTCTCTCTTCGTTTACTATTAACTCTACTTCTACCTTAAAGATAAAAAAGCTTGTTTACCCTCAGCTAACCTATACTTTATTTTAATCACGCATCAACGCTATTTTTTATCGCTCATGATGGAATTTTTAGAATTTAATTTTTCCATTTAAAAAAGTTTAATTAACTAAATATTTCGTGATAAAATAAAAAATATATATATTCGTTTTCTTCAATATTTTTCATTTTCTAACATTTAAAATCGAAATCGGATAATACCAACAACAATATGAGAAACCAAAGCTTTGTAAAGCAGCCTACATCTTTCCTCTCAAAGATCACAAAAGAATCTTAACAATGGATTTAAAGATTAAAGCGAGGGATTAAAAATGTTATAATATCTAGAGATTAAAAATCAGCTTACAGCTATTAAAAAATTAATTTTTATCCAATTAATTTTTAATGTATTTTTTAAACTAACTGGGTTTTTTTATCGACTGTTTCTCTTATTTTTCTAGACGAAAAATTTCTTTTCTTAAAGATCCGCGAAGAGAATCTTAACAATGGATTTACGGATTAAAGCCAGGGATTAAAGAAGTTAGCTTATAGCGAGGATTAAAAGTTATCTTAGAACTAACAATAAAAAAAAAATTAACTTAACAGCTATTTAAAGAATTGTTTTATCTGCCTTTCATCTGTGGCCTTTACATTAACAATAGAGTTTTTAACTTCATCCTTGGCCTTTACGTTAACTGTTGTTATCTTAACCTATCCTTGGCCTGTAAAATGATGATTTTGAAAATGACTTCTCTTGTTTCCTATTCGAAAAATCTCTCTTCTACGAAGAGAATCTTAACAATGGACTTAAAATTTCAATTAAATTAAAGATAAATATATTTTTAAAATCCACTTTAACAATTTTTCGACTGGAAAAGTTAACTTTTACATTAGTATAGGAGTCGAAACTGGAAAACATTTAATTTATTTTAGACCTAATAGAAATTTGAGGCAATTTGATAAGATCGAATTAATTTAAGTTAGTTAGTAAAATTAAAAAGAAAAAAAAAGAAGTCGTAAAAGCGAATGATAGCGAATGAAGCAGACTACTAATAACAGAACAAGGGAAATACAAACTGTTAATTCGCTGGTGGAGCCAACCAGACCTGTTGCTATGGTGATCACGATCCAGAATGTTGTTGACTCAGCACAGATAATAGCATTACGTTGTTCATTGGTCTAACGTCTTACATGTTAAGTAGAGAAACATTCTAGTCAGCCAAATCTTTACAGTGCCAAAAGCAGAAAGTTTTTACTTACATATTGGTCCTCGCTTGAGTAGAAAGTTCTGTAAATTGCTGGCTGAATAACTCATCCGAGAGGTCATCACCACCAAGAAGAAAACTCGTAACGGTTTCACGAAATTTAATCCTGTTGAGAAAATCAATAAAGAATTTCAATAACAAATACATATATCTTCTCCGTATAGCTTATTGTTGGAGTCGTGGATCCCTAGAAGTCAACTTTATTCGCATCAAAGAAAAGTTTGTTTACGATCCTTTCTCTGCTATATTTTACGATATGAGTTGTGTCGGTATAAAATATATATATAAATTCGCTAAAATGTGTTTGTACGATTATGACTTCATAAGATTCTAGAGCGGGGATATAAGCTTCGCGTTTAGTGGGAATCTCTTTAAGACCATTCGGCCATTCGCTAAATCGAGTCATTAAGAGATGCAATTCGTTCCGAAGCGTGCTTTGAAACGTGTTAAATGTACATCCTAGTACTTTAAACAGGTCACACCTCTTGTAGAAATATCACACCGATGGGAAATGCTGATTTATAGCTTTTTCTTCCTTCCTGTGCTAACAGTTTTCTTGTTTAAACAATGCGATAAGAGGTAGAAGAGGGGGATCTACTCACCGTCCTTCTCGCCGTATGAACTTTTAATTATCCCGTCTATGCAAAAAACAGATGCTAGTTTTCTTATATTGATGTTGATGTCTTGTTTCTACAAGTGGAAACATACGGGAATTCCTATCGAGAGTTAAAGGAGGAGAATATTGTAAGGTATCTACGACATTATCAAGAAACGAAAAGCCTCCGTCAATGCTTCTTACGTGTTAATAAGGCTAAACAATTTTCCTATCTACGAAATTATAGAGATTTTAATAAACGTTTCCCGTATTTGTAAAGAATAAAACCGGGCTTCAACGTAAAAAAATCCGTAACGATATCTAACGGGGAAAAAAGCCATATAGATAATGAACAACTTAAAATGGTAATAAACTCACGCAATTAATTATAATTCATACAAAAATACGGATTTTATTGTTTCAAATGATAAAAATTCATAAATGTAAACTAATAAACTAAAAAATTAAACTAGATAAATGGATCTACAGTATTATTTAAGAGAGAAAATGTTGATGTTATAGAGCTATAAAGTTAAGTAACTATTATACTTACGGGGAGAAAAAAAAAAGGAATTTTTGTTGTTAATGATAAAATTTTGTTTTCTCAAACCACAAATTTCATAAAACTGAATTAATAGCTAAACCTTCTACAGCGCTAAGACAGGTATATTTCTAATACTTGTAAAGCTAATGAATTAACTATTATGCTTTAAAAAAATGGCAATTCTTTTACGATAATTATAAAACAAGGTTTTATCACTATTATCCATAAAAAAACCTTGTTCTATAAATCGTAAAATTCATAAAATTAGACCAATACCTAAACATCTGTAGCTCTAGCAAAGGTAGAAAAAAGTTGCAGATGGCTTATATACTACGTTAATAAAGATAAGCACGAATATTTTTTTTTCTTAGAAAGTGGAGTGATAGGTAAATATCAGTAATCGAAAGCTAAAAGTACCGAAAGTAAAATTAATATTAAAGTAGACATGTTGTTACTATAGTAACAATCATACGTGGGTAATATTAAATGGACGTGAAATTTTTATATTAGCTAGGATATTTATAAAACGAACAAAAATGGATTAAAAAAAATAAAAAAATTATATCTGACATATAAAGTTCTGATGTTGGGTGTGGTCATCTCTACAAAGCATTTCTGACTAGGCGTAAAAAAAAAATATATATATAAGTTTCGTTTTTATACTCGAATCATAAATATCTACCAATTGAAAATTTATAAAACTTCAACTGTATCGTTTTTAGAAAGATATAATAATAAAAAAATGCCTTGTACGATATGAAATCTTAGCCAATAAAGTAGGATGGAACTTTATTCAATTTAGCTTTATAAATAGACCCCACCCATGATAATGATTTCTGGGTCACTATCAAATTAGCCAGTTAAGAAATAGCATTCAAAGTTGAAAAGTTTTCTCTTAAAAAAAATGTAATAAATAAAAAAAATATATCTTATATACGACGGAGACATATTCTATTGGCTACTATTTTGTAGTGTCCTTGCATTTCATTCTATGAATGCACTAGGAGCGAGACGTTGCAGTATAAATCATTATCAAAGAAAAATTCCTATATTTGAAGATTTACACACGTAAAAAAAGGTGGATATAAACTGTAAACAAGATTAAAACACTTCTATAAGTATCATTTTTTTATTAAAAAAATAGTATTTTCTAAGTACGAATGACAGATACTAATAATTGGACTTTTACAATTCTTTGTTGGAAATACTTTAAAAGATCATAATATAATTGAGAACTAGAAATTATTCTTAGCAAGTAAAATCGTAAAAAATGTTATTTTCTCTAAAATATACGTTAATAATCCTGTATTAAGATCGCTTCCAAATTAGCAAAGGACGAAGAATTCTTATTCTGATGATTCAGATACTATCTTAAGTTCAATAAATAAACTAAAATATCGCATAACCTATTCTGACATAAAAATATTAAGTATCGAACGAAATTTACATAACATTTTAGTAGATATTTAATATAAGCGAAGATACATGTACGTTCTTTATAAATAAATGCTCTTTTCACCTATATATATATGTCATGTTGTCTCGAATCTTGACCCAATCGACATCTTTTTGTCGTATCTTATATCTTATATTTACAGCTTAAACTTGTCGATAAAGAAATATTACTAAAGCCTTCACTTTAATATTTTTCTACATTAAAACAGCCAAGAAATTGCTTTTATATTTCAGATTTTTGACTCGTTAATTTAAAAACTTGGTGTTTATTCTATATATAAAATAAACACATGACGAATAAATATACATTTTCTATTTTTAAGTATGATTGAAACCAACGTGTATATCTAATTTCTTAAGCATAATTGAGATTCTACCACCTCGAAGAAGGGCGTATAATAATTTACAACTTTAGAATATATAAAAGTTTAAAATTAATTTTTTAACTGGATAAAAATTTAATCTATATTTATTCGAAGCAATGTCTAGAATTATTATTTTTTTAATATTTAACACGCCAATAATCTCTAATCTTTGTTCTTTATGTGTAACTGAAGATTACTACAGTGGAAAAAAAGAGAAGATAGAGGAACATCTTCGTCATATCTTGTATTTTCGGGCCAGAAATTTAGAATGGTTTTTTAAAGTCGACAGAAAGTTACGATCTAGAACTACCTCGAACTATGGATTATTTTCAATCCTCTCGATGGCCTCTATCCTGATAAATCGGGCGGAGATATTTTACAGTTTCTATCTCTTAAATGGCTATTCCTAAATTCAAAAAGAAGTATTATATTAATCCATTATACCATATCTAGAGCAGCTAAATCAAAAAAAAAAAGAGGAAGAAAAAATGTTTCTAAGATCTATTCCGAGTAAAGGACAGAAAAACTAAATTAGTAACGTCGATAGTATCGCGGGTGATCATTCTTAAAAGGAGTACTTAACGAGGTCGACTCGGCCACATTCGCTGTCGTTAGATAATAAAATATGATTATTATTATTTTTTTTAATTAAAAAACACGTGATATTTTTAAAGAGCCATAAAATGTGATTAACTACGTAAAACCTATTAGATCCATTAAATACTTTCTGAAAGTTGCAATAAAAGTAATATATTGGAACAGTTGTTGTGTTATTCTTTATAGAATTAAAGGGAGAAAAAGTATATTTTCGACTTTTCATATAACTTATATATATATTTTCTAGTTTAATTTTTGAACTGGCAATTTGACAAGTTTCGTGGTCTAAATATGTGACACATTGGAGATAAAACTTCTGCCACTTCCGCTTATTTTTATCCCCATGTGAATGATAAAAGAGCAGATGGATTTTTCGAGTGTTTGTTCTCTCCCTCTCTCTTCTGTGCGAACTTTGATTGTTTGCACGTTTGCATCTTCTCTTTCTAACGTTGCGAAAATTCACTTTTGTAAAATAAAAATACTTAATAACAAAAAGCCAGAGGGTAAATTAATAATACGATAATTTACATAAACCTATCAAAAATGTCAGTATTTATTAAATCGTAACGTAATTTAATAAAGTGAAAGGTCAGAGCGCTTTATTGAACGCATCGATGAACCAGTGCGCTTTTATCGTAGACGACAATTTGCTCACCTCCTCGTAAAATGATGGATTTGCAGCGAAAAACAGGAAAGAAAACAACGGATTAAGCACTCGAGTTGGATTAATCTCTACAATCTGCGTGCAGTTGACTGATTTCTGATCTCGAAAATATTAATTAAACTCGTTTAGACCGAGAGTGTTTATTCATACCGACTTGGCTCCAACTTAAAAAGCTTAAAACTGGATTAACAAAAAGATACTAATCGAAAAAAAAACACAACCATATTTTAAAAAATCAACAGAGAATAAAAGGATACAATTTATTTACATACGATAAATATAAGGTTGTTGCATAAACACATATTTTACCAGATAAGGCAGTGGTTGTCACGATAGCTAGCTATTAGTTTCAGCCTGTTTCCCTTCAACGACTTGTCCCCTAATTCCACCCTGCTGTCACAAACACCGGTTGCTAGGTAAGCTCCAATCGATCCAACTGGTGCAGCCCTTCCTTCCTTGTCGTTACCAACCAACTACACTCCACCCACTTTCTGGTACAATCGTTACCAGCAGAATTACATCACACACACAGCTAGTTGAAGGCTGGGCACAACGGGTCAACCTACATTATGAAACGATCATTTTCTGTATCACAGAATAAAAAAGAAATGTGTATAAAATAAAATAAGCCCTATTATTGTTCATCTTCAACGCTAAAGTATATAATTTTGCTTTATTTTCTTGCTTGTACAGTTAAGATTTATTCATTTATTCGTCTAGAAAGAGAGAGAACACCGGGATAATTTTTTACTTTATCACAAATTCATTTATAGTGATCGATATATATATATATATTTTTTTTTCGATATTATTTTTACTTTTAAAGAAGTCGAAAACGAGAAAGAGAAAGCTTTCTTTCTGCGTACAATTTTGTCAATATTTATTT